TTTCCAAAACCCTACGTTTTTCTCCTCCTGTACTATGAAATTTCTCTATATCTGAGTTGCCGGTATAGCTGTTTGGCTATGTAATATGAACTTGTACCTTTTTCTTCCTAAGGAAATCTTTCATGTTAATGCAATTAAATACATCGTAATAAATATTAGGCTTCTCTTTAACTGAAAAATAGTTGTTTCGGTCCTCTAAATGAAATACAGATGCATGTTTAGAAAATCTATCTAAGAATGTGATAAAATTATTTTTATTTTTTGTATAAATGTCAGAGTGAACAATTTGATTTATATCAACAGGTGTCGCTGTTTTATTGATATTTTGGTTTTGATGGTTATCTATGTAGCCCTGTTATAAATATCACAATTATTTATATACTTTTGAATGATTACTTTTAACTTTGGAAAATAAAGTATTTCCTCATAACGTCCATTATTCCTGTATAACCTGACTCGTATTTGTGATATTTATTTGTTGTAAGATTCCGTCCTCGCTATTTATGTCTTCTGCCCTAAAACTGCATTTCACAAATTTTGCAGCTTTCTTTGATTATTAATCGCAAGTATTTTTAATTGTAACAAATTATATTCATGATTCCGATTAAATACCAACTTTACCTGCTTTAACAGATCTACGTAAAATATTTGGCAATCGATCCTAAATTAATATACAAATATTTTTATTTTATTTTAAATTCTTTTTCTTTCCTTTAAGTTAAAATTATTTGTGTTTTAAAAAATTTAACAACCGTTTCTGTAATGTATTGTATTAACGCTTCCCTCATCTATGTTATTTTGTAAAGATTCATCAATTTCATCCCCTAATATTTCTTAATTCTAATTAGCATTTATTTCATTGGCATCAGAATTTATACGACTCAAGAAATCCGCCATTTTGTTGGCTTTCCCTTGGATATACTGAATATCTATATCGTATTCACCTAATTTTAATATCCACTTGTATACAGCCACTTTAATGGTTGATTATCAGTTTGCAAGTCAAATTGTACACCATACATATGAAGGCGAAAGTAATTTACAGCCCATACAATAGCCAAAAGCTCTTTTTCTGTGGTGGAGTAATTTTTTCATAGTCATTTAGAGTTCTACTAGCGTAGTAGTGTTGAAAAACTGCTCCAATTGCGAAATTGCTTGCATCAGTAATCAATTTAAGTTTTTCTATAAAATCAGGGTATCTTAGAACTAGAGTCTTAGCAAGCAATCTTTTCAACTTCTCAAATGAATTTATATACTCAGAATCCTTTGTGGCTACTTTCTTATCTTTTTTTAAATATTGTGTTATAGATTGTGCCACTTTAGCATTATTTCGAACAAACTTTTTATAATAACTCGTAGCGCCTAAAAGCGACTCAATTTTTTTTTTTTGAATTTTTAGTAACTCTAGTTCCATAATACTTTTAACTTTCACAAGGTCTACCTTAACGCCTTGTCTGCTTGCAGCAGAAATTACATTTGTCTAATTGAATTTTTAAATTATGCTTTTTTAATTAATCGAAAATTTTCCTAATACTTTCGCCATGCTCCTTAAGGGATGTGCTCAAAATTAGGATATCGTCCATATAGACAACACAGATTTAAGAAGTCCTGAAGGACATAATTTATTATTCCTGGAAACGTATATTGGGCGTTTTTTGAACGGAATGGCATTTTCATGAACTCATAATGCCCAAATGGAGTTAAAAAGGCTGTTTTATCTGTATTTTTCTCCTTTAAAGGAATTTGAACAAATCCTTTCCTCGATAATGATCGCTAGTTGCAAAGTATTGTGCTCTTCCCAATTCATCCAATATATTTTCTATATTTGGAATTGGAAATTTATCACTAATGGTATAATGGTATTTTCATTTAATTTCCTATAATCTATCACTATTCTCCACTTTTTCATACCGGTATTAACTTTTTTGTACAATCCAAAGAGGAACAATTTTCTCCAATTAACATATCATTAATTTTTCTCGTTATCTCTTCCACGTGAATTTATGGACACCTGTATATTTTAAAATAAACAGGATTATTCAGATAAATAATTATACAGATAAATTATCTACACCACGATAGAATAAGCTTTTATAGGATTTTATTACATTTGAAATTATATTGCATTCTTCTTTATTTAGATTATTTAATTTTTCTTTAAATGCTTCCTTCTGCGATCCATAACATAATCTCTATTATCAGTAAACTTGATTTTTTTTATTTACTGTTAACGTATTATCTGTCATGTTAATAATTGCTTTCAATGGCTTTAATATATTTTGCCCTATATCTCCTTCAATCGTTTACTTTGAAATTTTATTAGCTTGCACACCATATCAGCATCTTCACTAAATTAGTTGGGTAAACTCGTTATTATTTCCCCATTCACTACCGTTTCATTCTGCAATGACCTGAGCTTAACTGGTTGCTTAAATTTAATTCGCCCAATTTTCTTTATTTTTGTGTCATTCATCAATGATTTTGATAAGCACGACTTGACTAAACATCTAAATTTTTCGTTGAAATAACTTTTTCGATTGCTGTCCGAATGAAAATTTATCTCTTCAACATTATCACAATCCATTGGTTGTGGAATTGATTGATTTGATTGGTATTTTCCAGAATTTGAGTTCTCAATTGCAAGAATTTGTCTATTAGTAGATGTAAAAGCTGATTGATTTTGTTTGAAATGCTTTTGTGGTTGATTATATTGGTTTTTATTGTGTTTACGGATCAATCTTTCATTTTCTAAAACACTAAATACTTGTCTAATGCTACTAACTGATTTATTAATAGCTACTGACGTTAAGCTTGGTAGCTATTTGTTAGAAATGTATTTAATCCCACTTTCTCATTATTTTGGGGCTTAAATCCACTTGGTTTTTGAGCATCATATTTGTAGTTTTCGTTAAGTGACGACAGGATGTTTAACTTATTAAAATAATCATAAATATTACAATTTCTTGCAGAAAGTATCCTTTGGTGGAGGGAATGGTAGGACTCTTTTACCCCAAAATTATTAATAAGTGCTTTAATGGTATCCCATGTTGCTACTTCGCTCACCGTACGTATAACGTCCAAAGCTAGTCCTTGATGCTTTGCATCGTCATTTATAAAAAGTGGAAGTATTGTATCCACTTCTCTTAAAAATTAAGTTAATGAAACACTACCATCTCCTCGGAATTCGTGAACTCGATGAGCATCTTTCGATAGGTCTTGTGTTGTTAATTGGAATGTCATGTTTTCTTCTGAATTCACTTATAACGATGAGTAGTAATGGTTGGTTTTTGAAAGATTTTTGAGGTTTTCCTCTTGTTGTATTTGCTCCAGGGCTGATGTTAGCGATGAAAACTTGAGTAGTAATGGTTGGTTTCTGAAAGATGTTTGAGGTTTTCCTCTTGTTGTATTTGCTCCAGGGCTGATGTTAGCGATGAAAACTTGAAAGTATTATCACGATTTTTTTCTAAGGTTTCTGCTTCGCTCCGCCTAACTTTTCTTTTGGCATTTGCAATCAAATGCGAATAAATTTAAATATAAAATGTTCTTTCACTCATTTTTTTTTAATTCACGAAATACACTTTGTGTAAATCACTTTGGTGAATATTGTGCTTTGTTTTAAAGTGTGTCCTTTAAAGTATTCAGTAGGTCCTTTCCCCAATTCTTCGGAATATGTGCCGTTGGATAATTGGATTAATTTCTCAACAGTTATTACTTCAATGTGTTGTTTACATTATGGCCAATATTGTTGTTTACGTTAAGTGGGGTTTAATTGAAATATGATGAGTAGCAGTTTATTCACAACGCAACAAAGTACTTCACGAATAAATAAAAATTATGACATGAATTAAAATTTGAGTAATTTTAACGGGTCAGTGGGTGAATATATAAAAAATATAACATATATTAGTTATGAATTTGGTGAAGTTGGTAACGTAACTAACATGATTTTTTTTCAGACCAATTGCTTGATATTCCATTTCATTCCATTTTCACGACTTACTGTACTTGCAAATTAAAAATTATTAAATTAAACTAAATTTTCTGATTGTAGTCGTCCCTCTGTAAGTAATCTAAGTCGGGTGTATTAATGACATAAAGGCCCTTCGTAAAAAAATATCAGTCGATCGGAGGCGGCTTATTATAAACTTTTAATACGTAACTTTAATATTTACAATTCATGAAGTGATCAAATTTTCGGTTTTAAATTAATTAAATTCTCAAAAACTAAAAAATGGGTGGCATGGAGTTGTACTTCGCCGATTTACAAGGAGTTGAATTTTAATGAAACTGAAAGCACGGTTCCAAGTTCACACTAACTTCATGCATTTTATTACCACCTATACCTTTGGTGAATTTCATTTGCTAACTTTTTCTGTATTTTTCCTTTCCGCTTACTTGAAGTATTTTTTAAATTTTGGCGGCCAATTCAAAAATTCTGCGTAAATAAATAGCATCCGCCCGATGAAAGCAAAAATATTTGCACCCTCACCCGCGGAAGTTTTAGATTTCCTAATGTAACTTCATTGTGCATTTCAAGAATATTGTTGTCCACACTTACCAAAGGAACACATATACAATTTTTCTTTATTACCAGTATTTTTATTTTTTGCTCAAGTTGCTTTTACTTAATTATAAACTTACTAAATTATTTACCTCAATTGTTTTTAATTATATGTATCTACATATAAATCTACTACCTTACTAAAATCATCAAAATAATGCCAAATGTGGTTTTGACTTGTTACACTATGTCGCATCTTTAACTTTTTTCGTCTTGAACTGCATGTTAACATTTGAATTTTATACATACGTGTATATATATAAATGCAGTACTGTTTATTTGGAAAGTAAGTTTAACCAAGGTGTTCGTTCCATCTCTAATAATTATAAACAAACCAGGTTGAACTTTTTTTTTTAATTGAAGGCTATTTAATCACAATTGTCTATCTTAAAGGATCAGCCTTCTTTTTATACATATATCCGTTTTTATATGTTGACAGATCGTAAATACATAGAACATTCATTGAAGCCAGCGCCACCACCCGTCAGTACCGTACGTCGCTTTACATCAAATAGCTCCTCGAATCAACACATAAGTTCAACAGCACAACACAACTCAAGTTATTCCTCCTTAAGTCAGGTAAATAACCTAATTTAAACTTAATTAACCTAAATTAAACTCACCTTTATTTACATATTATTTAATTTTAATAAGACTGTAACATATATATATGCTGGACTGTTGCCCTGTAGTTTTATTTGTAACAAAATTTGTTCGCTTGCGAATGTTTGCTACTTCAAAATACATTCCTAAGAGGCATTTGACCAATGTTAGAGCACAGTTATGTTTCCCTCGAGTTAATGACACTGCGCGGCTGGTTTATGTCCTCGAAAAAACAAAGGCTGACTTCACCGCCGTAGCAGAAGTGTAATGGAAGCTACCAGGACCGAAGAACGTAGGCTTTTGTGAAATTTACTTCAGCGGACAATTAAAGGATGATTTATGTTGAGTTAGAAAGGAGTTGATGGGAGAGAGACTCTGTCGCCGAGTACTGACATTCATTCTGGTGGATGAAACTCTTGCCACAATCGGCATCAAAGCCAATGGCGCAGAAATCAGGAAATTCAGCCTCCACGACGCAACATTTCCTAATGAGTTTAAGCTGATCGATTTCGGCGGGGGTCCGAAATATACTGTTTGTAGTGCTAGATTTCCGTACAAGAAAATACATAAATCTACGTGGATGTCGCCGGATCAGTCGCCATAAAGTTTCATGAAAACATGCGGCGAAACATGGTAACCGAAGATTTCAAGACGAGAGCATACTCAAGTCGGAATCAATGTGGAAATCTGGTAATATGCTTGGTGTATGAAGGGAATACTTCTCCTGACTGCTGAATGGCAGTGAAAATGCAACACTCGATATGGTAAACTCGAAACACCAATTGTTGATGACAAATAATAGCGTTTCCCGACATTGACGTCATTCGAATCGCGTAAAAAACAGTGTGTCTTGTGCCGTTTGGTTTGCGCAAATTTCCGTGGGATAAGCCTTTTTGACATCGCATATAAGGTCACATCGAGTATATTATGTGAAAGACTTATGCTCACCGTCAACAAGTTGATTGGACTTTTTCAGTGTGACTTTGGACTTGATAAATGAACCTTTGACCAGATGTTCACTAGGCTCTTAATCTTGGAAAGACCCGTGAAAAAGGATCGACATACACCACCGCTTCGTCGATTTCAAAGCAGCCTTCTACAGCTAGAAAAGGAACTTCCTCTACGTTACTATGTCTGAATTTTGTTTTCCTGCATAACTTATACGGCTATGATAACTGTGTTAACGCTGGACATCACCAGTAGCGCAAAGGAAAGGACCTCCGTTCGATGCCAAACGAGCCTGCAGACAGGGGACTCCTTATCGTGCGATTATTTCAAATTCTTCCAGGAGGAAATTATAAGAGCTGCTGGGCTATGCAGACAAGGCACACTCTTTTACAAGAGTATAAAACTCCTGGTGTATGCCGATGAAATTGCTATCATAGTCCTTCACAAACGCTCATGCCGACAGTCATAACTTCGAAGTCGTAGATAAATTCGTCTATCTAGGGACCAATATTAACACCAGCAATTGAAAAGTACAGTCCGCTGTCGGCGACTCAAATTCTTCAGCATTTCCGTCCTACTTTATGATGCAGAAGAGTGGACAATGTCGACATCCAATGAGGCGTTCCTAGGAGTCTTCGAAAGGAAGGTTTTAGAGACGATTTAAGGTCCTTTGCGCTTTTGCTACCGCGAATACTACAGACGATTGATCAGTAGCTGTACAACTTATACTGTGACATTGATATAATGCAGTGAATAAAGTGACAGCGGTACGCTTGCTAATTCATGTCGTCCGATTTAATGAAAGGGACGGTGGCAGCAGAGGAAGCGGAAGACCTCCACTTCGTTGGAAAGATCAGGTGGGGATCCTTCGTTCATTTGGTTTTACGTGGTATTTTCAACTGACGTCAAACAGCGAGTGAAAGAACCGAGGTGCGTGATAGTCAATAGACTCGTCTATATTCGCGTAAGGTGTGCCAATGCAATAGAAGAAGAAGAAGGTGACTCTATATTCATGTTGGGTTCGGAATTCAAAAACAGATTTAGATAAGGTCTAACACTCTATATAATTTTTCAGAACTTAAAATAGTTGTATGGATATCTGTTTTTGTGTTCAATTAAAAAATTCTACAATTACACAGCAACTGCAATTTTCTGCCCCTGTTTACAAAACCCTAATTAACATTGCTTACACATTTTCTTACGTACTCGTTTCCTTTTCATCGCTTAAACGATTGGCTGTTTGGTTAATAATTCAAATGTGTAATAAATAATTGCACTTCCCCATGTTTATTCTAAATTTTTTTTACTTTCACAAGACAAAGAAGTGATTTGCTGTTTAAAAGTTGTGAACGCAGTTGCCATAAAAATTAAAAAAAAAAACACAAAATTCTTCTTGCTAATTGAAGTAGGCACCGGAAGATAAGAGGTCAAGAAGCTGCAAACAGAGCATACCGCCAAGCAGTTTTCTACTCGACTTGCTCTCTGAGAGCACACACCGAGGTATAGTATTTCTAGGATCCTACGTACAGTTGCTGGCAAATGTGAAAGATTAAGCTAAGGGAAAACAGTCTGCCATTCTGCAAAAATAATGATGAATCTTTCAGAATGTTTAAAGGCGGAGTTTATCTTGAAATAACGAGAGAGGGGATTTTGTGATTAACGATCATAGTATATAGAATTTATGGGTTGAACAGTTTTGTACCCAGAAATGAATGTGTAGCTCCAGGAAATAGTGTTTGCCAAACTAGCAACACCGTAAACCAGCAGCTTAGCAGCAGCAGAGTACTCAAAAAGTGTAAACCACTATTTTACCCTAGCAGCAGCAGAAACACAAGCACCCTCTGCGGGTTAGAGGTTCAAGAATTTACCCGCGGTAAGGCATTCCTTAATTCATTCATATTCATTTATACCGGAGCGGCCCTGATTTGTATTCTGCCAAAGACTGTCACTCCTGCAACACCAAAATAAGGAAATATAACTAGATGTTAGTACAAGTACACAACGTAAAGCATTTTCGAGGCGTCAACAATAAGAACATTTCTTTGAAAATCAAACTATAAGAATTATTACTCTTTCCAACTGAGGAGCTCAAAAGTCCTGATTGTTGCTATAGAGAAAGTACGTCGACTGACTCAAGTCAATTAGTAAAAGTTATAGGAGAGATGTTAAGGCATTCGTAAAGATAATAATTAGAAATAAAAAAAAATAAATCTGAGTATGGTTAACATTTTCTTATCTTGAAGTTCATTTCAGTTTAAGAAGAATGAAACCCATTTAGTTACAACTTAATATACCTGAGTATCGACTGGTAGAGTTTGGTCTTTGTTTTATTGTCTACGTGTACTCAATCAAGAGTAACAACTAATAGTGATTATGCTTTGGATTTTTAGACTGATTTTTTTGTTTGTGCTAACACTGGTTCCAAGATAGACGAAATTTCCTTCTACATCAAAGTTACGACTTGGATGGCAGCAGATATTTCGTCTTTACCAGACCCATACGCTTCGCTTACATATCCATTCACGGTTATTGAGGCAAATCGACTAGATTTTTCAGATCTATTCCAAGATTTGTGAATATCTTGTCAATTGTGGATTTTCCAGACTTAAATCCACACTGAAGAAGTCCTATCAGATTGTTGACGGTGGCTCGGCCGGCCCGCCGGTTTATTGTGTTTCTGCCGGAGAGTTGCTATCCAAACTTTGTTGTAGTCAAGCAATGGTACAACTTTTCTTGAAATATTTTGTAAGCCCTTTGTAATTTGATACTCACGCGTTTTGGTCTCTCTCTTATTCTGTCCGCAAGCGCGTCTCGCTTCGTTTTGTAATTTGTGGTATCTATCCCATCCCCCCCCCATGTTGTGGTCGATCGCAGCTTGTTTTTTTGTCCACTGCGTAGTAACAAGTACATCGTACCAGCTATTGTTTTGCTCTTTCCGAAAACCAGTAGTTTCGGTTGGAGATGCTATCCCACAATTTCTTTATATGAAGTTGCTAAAGAGTCAATTATGAAAACGTTCGACCTTTTCTATTTGGACGGGCGTTCACTGTTGTACAGCCGCCGTTTTATGCTGCTGCGATATATGGGTCCTTGGTGGTTATGTCCGTCAATATTATGAGTTTTTCGATGCGGAGACAGCTAAATAGTTTGTTAAATTGTTGCGCTAGAGTCTCGTATTATCCGTTATTACAAAAAAAATATTTTTAGGCAAATGTCTAATGCTATTGACAACAACAAAATTAAATACTTAGGTGCGCATCAAAACGAGCTGGTTGTTTAACAGATAGTGCAACCATTCGTATATATTAAATTGATAATAATTCGGAATTTACTCCAAGGCGGAGCTACTCGTACATCTTCGAAATATATTAAAAGTTTAGAACCTATATACATTTTTATATGTGTCATATCTTTATGTTGGACTTATCACTTTAACTTCAATGAGCAACGTATGTTTATTTTAGCATAGATGATTAAGTATGTATAAAATATATTCGTTATCGTGAAGATAAAATAAATGAAAAACAAAAAACTATAGCCAAAAATATTTTAAATTCATGGTTTTGAAAAGTGAGGTAAAGTACAGAAGAAAGTCGTACTCAAAACTTCAATGAAAAAACAATGCCCCGTTATTAAAATTAGCAATGGAAATTGAAACAAGAGAACCAGCTATACAAAGCTTTTAAATTATTCAGCCGTTTCAAAGCGATCGAAATTATTATATTTGTGTATGCATTGTATTGATGCCAAAGAAGGCAATAAATATATCAGCTTGTAAAATTGAAGATACCATTGCAATTAGAGATGATGCATTATCAGAACACTTCGGCTAACACCTCGGCCACCACAACACCTCAAACCCGCCTGAGGAGAAAGGATAAACCACACTTTTAACAGCAACGTTAATTCAGCAGATCGTTCCTGCTAAATGGCTAGATCTTTTAGTTCAGTCTTACGATTTTGATACTTATTATTAGATTTTCGATGTCGAAACAGATTCAGTAATCAATAAAAAACGTTAATAAATAAATCACGATGGTACAGACATTTCGTCATCCAACTCTGACGAAGCTCGAACAGCGTTTTCTGGCTTAAACAACTCTCAGAAGACTTGAGCTTCTTACTGACAAGGTGCACTCATCAGCTTGGTTGGGCGAAATCATGCCGTTGATGGGAATCTGAATATGTCCCACCAAACCTTAAAAAGGGAAACCCCATGGCACTGATTGGACTTTATCATTGTGGCTTTAGACCTGAACAATTCACTATTGAGCAGACCTTCCCTTTGACCCAAGTCCTGGAAAATACCCGTAAGAAAAGTTGACACTGTTGACAGTCATAACCTTAAGGTCGTAAATAATTTGTTCTATGTAGGAACCAGCACCAGCACCAATAATAATGTCAGCCTTGAAATTCAACGCAGAATCACTCTTGCCAACAGGTGGTATTATGAACTTAGTAGGCAATTCAAAAGTAAGGTCCTCTCTCGGCGAACGAAAATCAAACTTTTCAAGTCGCTCATCATTCTTGTCCCACTTTATGGTGGAGATGCGTAGACGTTGACAACAACCGATATGTCGGAAGATGAAGATCATTTTCCCAATTTGAGTGGATCTAAAGGTGGTGTTCAGCGTTAGTTTATAAAGCTGTATAATTTATTCGGCGATGAAAAACTGATGCATAGCAGTTCATTAACTACTGGTTTTAGTCGCTAACCAAATAACACTGTATCGTAGTGTGCCAAATCCCATTTCCTATTCTCACGGGGAAAAACTCCAGTCTTGAAACCATCTATTTGTCTTCTCATTGCCTGGTATAACTTTTGAGCAAATCTCCCGTTAGCTATATACTTAAGTTTTTCATGCTGACACCCCCCTCTCTGCAATGCAGCGAGCAGAAAAACTTAACGAGAACACTGCTGGTTGTGAGGTGTCTTTCGTCTATTATAATATGATCTAGGAGGCTAAGTGTTCAAGTCGTCGTTTCAAAGAAACATTCTCTGCCCGCACGAATTTGCATATTAATCTAATTTACCATTTAAATAGTGCCAACTTTGAAGCTGAAATACAGAATAGAGACTATGTTACTTCCTTTCTCTTTGCCTTGAACGAATATTTCTTTAGAAAATACAAGTTAAAAAAGATTTGGTATTAAGGAACTTACCATGTTTTCTTAATTTCAGACCAACATTCTCAATTCAAACACCTCAACCGCCTTAAATACGAAAGGTATCGGTAATAGTAGCAAAAAACAGAAATATAGTAGCAGTAATTTACAAACACTAGGAAGCCCGTCCAGATCTCGCAGTGCTACCAAAGAACTAATATGTGAGGATTAAAAATAAAGTAAAATTTGAATAACAATAATTATTAATTTTTATTATTTATAATTTCTAGTACCGGCTGACGATGCGCTTATGTGTAAGCCTGAATTTACGAAGCCACTACAAGACTTTACCATAAATGATGGTGATAAGTTACTCTTAACGTGTCATGTCAAAGGCGACCCTGAACCACAAATAACATGGTCGAAAAATGGAAAGGTCATTACATCTTCAGACATTGTGGACTTGAAGTATAAAAACGGCGTTGCAACATTAGCTATAAGCGAAGTTTTTCCAGAGGATGAAGGCTTATTCGCATGCACTGCTACTAATTCCATCAGTGCTGTTGAAACTAAATGCAAATTAACTGTTAAACGTAAGTTTTGTAGGCCCTCCATTTGTTGGAAAAACATCAAGACGCATACAACAAATCGGAGGAAAAACGAATCGCGTGTGTAAAGCGTCAAATTTTAAGAAATTGGTATGTTTGAAAGGAAAAAATAATTCCGATGATGTTTCACTTGGCATCACTGTGCAAAGTACGGACCAGATTTTTTTTAAACCCCATAGGCATATATATGAAATAATAATATTTTTAACTTTTTTCCTTCTGAGATAAAATTTTCTTCAATATCTTCCTCGTAGTTTTGTTACAAGTTGTGATATATATTAAGTATTTGGCATGTCGCCACGATCCCTCAATGTTGTTGACCTTTAAAATTAACCGAATGTCTTCTTCATTAAAGCCATACGCCTAAAAAATTATTATAGAAGTTTGTTATATAAAAAAATATTTGCGTAAAATAAATGTATCTACCTTCCAACAATAAGATACCATTCTTTTACCCGGCAAAATTCATTCCTTAATTATTCATAATTACGTGTTTTTGACGCTTTTCCCTACAGATAATATTTTAATGCTTCAACGATCTACTCCTCCGAAGAAACCACTGACCTCCACGGAGTAACTCTTATGACCTTATGATATCGTTAGATTCCAATACTTTCCAAAACCACAGGGTGCTGGGGTTAATTTATAAATGTAGCTCTTCTGTGAAAACTGTTGTTTTATTTCTTCTGTTAATTTCATTGAATATCTTGAAATTTTTTATCAAATTATATTTTTCTCTTTTTTACACTTTGTATCAAGTAAATAAGAAAAGCTTTAATTATTCTTCTTTTAACTCAAATCTTGACAAGGAATTTTGTAATTAAAAAGTAACAACCGCTATATTCGCATTCACTTATTTAACAAATGTACGTGGCTGTCAGTCACTTTATGCGAATTTATGATTATTTAAGACTTATTAACAAATCTAGAGAATTTTTATGCTATTTTATTCTTAGCAGTTTAGTTTTAGGCTAATTACACATATTTTTAAGAAATACTTTTTTTCTATAAAAAATAGTGTTTTTTGTAAGTGGATTTTCTCAAAATTCATCTACAGATATAAACATCAAAAAAGGAATTTTACTTTTCACTTACTTTTCCAACGATACCAACCTTTTGAAGTACAAAGTAGCCTTTTTAAAATTTGCGAAATTCCCCCTTCGGCCTCCACATCTTCGTAAATATTATTTAAGTCTACAACAATCGAACTTTTTCGAGTGAAATTAGTATATTTATTTTTTTTGTTTTCGAATATCGCTTTATATGTACTTATATTATGCATTATGTCTCCCCTCTTGTCAATTTGTTTTGCTTATTTTAATTTTTTATTTTCTGTAGCACTTGATAAAAATGCAACTAAACGACAGACAAGTGGATCTAAGCCACCAAAAATTGTGAGTCACTTGGAATCCCGTTTGGTCAAAGACGGCGAAATGGTAACACTTGCTTGCCGTATTATCGGAGCCGAACATTTTGATGTAATTTGGCTACACAACAATAAAGAGATCAAACCAAGCAAAGACTTCCAATATACAAACGAGGCTAATATTTATAAGTTGCAAATCGTCGAAATATTCCCAGAAGATGCGGGTACTTACACTTGTGAGGCATTTAACGACGTTGGTGAATCTTTCAGCACCTGCACAATAAACGTCCTCGTACCTGGGGAAGAACCAAAACAGCCCGTAATTACAAAATTCCCAAGTTCGGTAACAATTCAAGAAGGTGAAAGATGTCAATTCATCTGTGAAACACAGGAAGAACCATTAAAATTGACGTGGTTAAAGGATGGCAAGCCAATAAATGAAAGCAGTACAAAATATAGCTTCATCAAAGATGGAAATCGCTACACCCTTGTTATTAAAAATTGCTCTATTGATGATGGGGGTCAATATCAAGTGAAAGCTATTGGTAAGAAGAACGAGACCTCAAGCGCTTTCTCCGTTAATTTCGACTGAATAAAGAATAGAACTTAATAACTCAGTAATTAAGTATAGAAAAAAGAACAAAAACAAAAGAAACACTAAAAATTAAAACCCGAATAACAATCGATAAAGAAGTATACTTCTAATAAAACACTGCTTGGATTGAAAGCACAAAACGAAAAACTCACTTTTCCATCTATCAAACTCATAAATAAAACGAATGAAATGTCATGACATTTATACCTGAAGTACACAAAAGTATATATATGGATAGTACTATGTATATACATATCATATGTATGTATATGTATTTATCAACAAAATCATTTTTCACATTGCCCTAATCGAACAAAAAATCAAAATTGTCTCATATGTGTAATTTGTATCCTCGAAACGACAATGATAAGTAATTATGGTAAAAACTAATCAACTAAAATGCATATTTATTTTTTGTGAATTATTTATGCTGGGCAATAAAATAATGTAAATTTCCTTATATGCATATTCGTATGCAATTACACAAGCACAAAACGACTCCGACGTCTAAGTGGCCTAATTACGCTTAGATTTTAAACTTATCAATTTAAGATAAACCTTAAGTATGCTCTTATTTATTAAAGCTCATAAACAATAAATGGAGATTACTAAAAAATTAATTCATTATAATAGTTTAATTCTTTAAATTCAAGTTAATCAACGACCTGTCAGATCGACGCTATGCCTAAACAAGCGTTTCCGGCCATAGTCATGGCAGAAAAACGTTTATTCGCTAATGAATAGTTGGATGTCATCATCGGCGGCGACATATACGCTCAAGCGCAAGATAAAGGATAAAAGGAAAATATAATAAGATCAGGTTGTTTTGGTAAATCATTAGATATATCCTATAAAAAACGCCAAACAATTATCCTCCCATATATATAATTGGCGATTTGTAACCGCTGAAGTGCTTTTCGGCCGAGCTCCTCCTCCAATTTGCGGTTTTGTGTTTTGATGTTTTTCCAACAGTTTATACTAACCCACTTCCAAACGGCTGATGGTTTTTTATGAAAAGCTCTTGATTTCAGAAATACACTCGGAGGGGTTGAGATTACCTGCCGAGGGGCGACCGCAATTAGAAAATTGAACTTAATTTTTTATTTAAATTAATTTTTCTATAACTTTTGGATGCTGGTTAAACGGGGATTTGAACCCGAGCTTTCCGAATAACAGTACGCAATGCTAACCATACGGCTACCGCTGCCGCCAATACCATTCAAAAGCAAAATATTTCTTCTTATAGCTCAATTTGAAATAAAAATTACAATGGGCAAGGGTGTTGAGTGTCTAAGGGATTGGTCTGTCACCCTAGCTAGCAGCACTTACTAATGGCTGCTCCTTGCCCACCCTACTATGGCTCTGTCGCTGTATACAAAGCCCAACTTCAATCAGAAATTAGACCAATTATATGCAAATTATTGAAACATTATAAATTATATATTTAATAAGATTTAACGTGTGTGTAAATATATATACACTTATAAGTATATATATATAATTTTTGTATAACTTTGTACTGGAATGAAATATGCAAAAGTAAATATACTCGTATATGTATATAAGAAGTGATATGCCTAGTTATCACTCAGGAGAATCAAGTGGAATGAAACAATAAAGAAGCTTATTGCTTCACACGTATTTACATATATAATATAATTGTTCAAAAATATTAAAACAAAAAAATCTAAGAAGACAAAAAAGCCAATATGTGCACATCCAAATAATTCACTTACTTGAAACGCAGTCCCTCGAAGCGCAGAAGGCCTGCTAAGCTTGTTGGTAGCTGTTTTATTGGTTGCTGCAATCTTAAGATTGGTTTATTGCCTTTAAATTTCTTAAAATATTACGTTTACTTAAAACCATAATATTATGCTTCTAATACTTAAACTTCCAATGGTCATTTATTTATGATCGTTGACTGTTGATGACAAAACAAAGTAAAGAGAGACAAAACCAAATACTAGGTGAATGATGTCGCTCTAGTATGATCACTTTGACCTTTGACATTGAAATATTTGTAAGTTTAGAGAGAAGATTTAAGAAAAAACAAAAACGGCGCGTAAGCCAATGAATTTTTCGTCTATCCCTCGTTCAACACCAGACCCGCTTTTCTATACAGTCTGGAGAAAACAGACGGTTGTTGAGGCAAAAAATGTATATGTGTATTTTCGTCGGATCATATTCTGCAAAGCAACTACTGTGTGCTCTCTTTCAGCTCTTCACCGACATGTTTGATTAGCTCTGCCCGTAGGAGGTCAGCTCCAGCAACTTTGTTGTTTTTTAAGCCGGCGATTTATATTTGAACTGCTACATGGTCAGGTAATGGAACGTATTTTCTATTTTCATCGATTGGGGCTTCGGGTTCACTATCTAGGGGTATTCCAGAAGTGTTTCCTCCATAAATTAAGCTTCACTCTCGCGCCCAAAAGGAGTTTGCCAAAGTGCAAAGAAAGCAAGCGAAATGTTCCCCTAAGAAATATGACGACAAACTCAAAGCCGTAGAGGCACCGCGAGGATAAGGAGCTTGTATGAAGGACACCGCCTAATAAAAAAACCAATCAAGGATCAGGGCAATATATGGCTAATGGGAGCAAAAGGTATGAGGGCAACAACCCTTTAAATGAAATAAAAGACACCGAGAATGAAATGAGGATGGACAGAAATAAAACGCAAAACAAAGAAAGAAAAGGAAGAGAAGAAGAAAGCAACTTTTGTTCCACGTCAGAGATCGGATGCAAAAATCATTGCACGAGCTGGAAACATATCTTATAGAGATATTCGTAGGGTCATCTGCAGAATATGGGAAAGCCAAACCTTAGAAAGTGTTTCAGGTGCATGGAATATGGTCACCTTGCGAGGGCGTTTACCAGCGTGGATGACAGTAGTCAATGTTATGCCTTGCGCGGCAAAAAGGAGTATTTTGCGAAAAAATGCAAAAAAGAAACCATCTGTGCAGCATACAAAAGCAATGACTTTCCAGGACAAGCCGCATCTGGGAAAATCATACTGTACTCGGGGAAAAATATGTGGACTTTATCTCTCTAGTTGCAACCTCCCTTCCCAATGTATCACTACTATTGTAGTTCATGAGATCCTTACCACCACCCCAAACGTAATAGCAGGTTATTTCAATGCATGGACAATGCGGTAGAGTAGTAGCTACACAATTAGGCGGGACCATGCCCTGTTCAAAGCTTTATCCTTATATATTTGCTTAACACCGGCGAAAGAAATACTTCCGAGAAGAATGGCCGCGGATCGATAATAGACATTTTGTTCGCCAGCAGGAGACTGGTGCGATTACCTAGTTGGAAAGTCAACAAGCAAACGTAGACTCTAGCAAGTAAAAAAAAATACTCTGAAAAAAAGGTTGTAAGGTGGATACTATAGATGTGGAAGCATTTAAACTCATAGAAGATAGTCACCTAGGTAATGCGAGCGACTTAGACGATCAAGCTGACATGTTGGTGAAGCACATAATAAATGCCTGCGACGCTGCCATGTACACCTTAAGAAGCGAATGCCATGAAGGGAGACGCTTCCCCAAAGAAGCCACGGTAAGCCTGATCATACAAGGATGCGTGAATGCTTCAGGGAAAAATGTAAGGGGCTCAAACAGGCGATCAAAAGAAGCAGGTCGTCAAGTTTCTAAGAGCTATGTGAGAAAGTGGATGAGAACCAATGGGTTGATGCGCGCAAAATTGTAATAACGAAGATAAGAGGAAGCAAAAGCAAAACCCCAACATCTCTTATTCTCTTAGAAAAGTTAGTAAAAACGCCTAAGCAAGAACCATGGGAGAGAGCATAGTGCGTATCGGCCACTTTTTATGATTGACACAATGGCTAAAATATTGGAGAGGCTGATCTGTACACGTTGGAAAAAGCATCTAGAAAACCAGTCACCTGGCCTATCTGACAACCAATTCGGCTTCAGGATACACCGGTCCACCATAAAAGCAATCCGCAAACTAACTGGCATCGCGACCAAGGCTATAGAGGGTACCAGATGGATATATGGCGAGAAAAGGTATTGCGCAGTTATCACATTGCAAGTGGAAAATGCCTTTAACTCGGAATATTGGCAGAAAGAAATACTCCAGGATATCTTCTGAGGATAAGTAAAAGCTATCTGTCTGACAGACTGCTATGGTATGATTCCGAGCCAGGGCCACATATAAGCTACAGCAATCGCATTTCAAGATTTTAGTTACGTAGGCGTATTGTTTCGCAAGTCCAGTATAGTTAAATAATATTGTCTGTGCGTGGTCCCGAATGAGGTGTACCTTTAGCGTACGATACGAATCATGAATGCGGCCCGGAAAAAGGGCGGAAAAAAGCACTCTTGCATTAAATGGTAAAAGCTCAGCTTTTAAAGTAGCGGTATGTGGTATTCTACTCAAAACGGAACGAAAGAATTAATTTGAGGGTATGAAACATTTTTCTTTTTTTGCTGTTTTACACATTAAAGAAACTGGACGTTCCGCTATCACATAGGTAATATTATATCATAGCAGAAATGAATATTATATTAAGAAGTTGGCCTCAAGAGAGGCCTGTGAAAATTGCATCATGAACAATAATACCTCTGTCAAACTTGTAAGTTCACGGAATTCACCGAGAACGCCCCCTCCCCGCTAGGCCGAATCAGGGAAATTTGCCCTAATATCCCTACAGAAGTGGCGGTTCTAGCATCTATGCTTCACACAATAAAGTTTTTAGCTTAAACAGCCCTATAAGCTTTGCAGGTATACCAAATTCAGACAAAGCGACGTACAGACAGCTCCTTTTCGGGCTGTTGAAGGCTGCTTTAAAATCGACGAAGGGGTGGTATGTATTCATTCTGTTTTCCCAGGTATTTTCAAAGAGTTGGCGCATGGTGAATATCTGGTCAATGTTTGACTTACTAGGTCTGAAGCCACACTGGTGGTCGATCGCAAGGTTGCGAGGTAGGCAGCCTGTTTTCTCTCCACTGTGACACGACAGTCCTCATTCGTACCAGCTGATTTTGCGTTATTTTCGAAATCCCATTGTTTCGTTTCCAGCTATGCGTGGGGAGCTTGCAATGCCATCCCGTAGTTCACTTATGCCGAGTTGCTGATGTATGCTGTCAGAGACCAGTTGTGCAAGTCGAGTATACGACCGCTCAACAGTCTGTTGTGGTTGCAGCTTTTCAACGTCGAACCTTCCTTGTGTTTGTTGACGGGCGATAGATAGTGATCCGTATCTTCGTTACGACAAAGTTGTGATCCGAGTCGATGTCGGGACCTCAGAACGTAGGCATATCTATAGCACTGGAGACATGTCTTCCCTCTACCACAACATGATCGAGCTGGTTTTGAGTTTTTCGATCTGGAGACAGCCAAGTAGCTTGGTGAAGTTTGTTGTGCTGGAATTTAGTGCTTCAGACAACCGGGAAACGACGAAATCGATAAGCCTCAGCCCATTTGAGGATGCTGCGTCGTGGAATCTGAATTTTCCGGCTGTTGTCCCAAAAAAACCTTCTTTGCCCACCAAGCACAAATTTGACGTCGCGGCGGGGGTAGCGGCAGGAGTGAGAATTTTCGGAATAAGATCTCTGATATGACAATATCTATTTTGGCTGGCGCAAAGCAGTAGG